CTCTGATGACGTCAAATGCTTGGGATATTAAAATGTCCTCTACCAGGGGATCTGTGCACTATCATGGTCTCTAGTAGCCTGAAAATGTGTTCTTACTGTGATTGCTTATTGTGGAATTTTACTATGGCTTATTGTTTGACTATTCTGATCTCTATGCTCTTTGACCCTATGCTTGTATCATCATCCTGTTGTCTCTCTGTATCCCTTGACCTCGGCTTCTACTAAACATTCCCACTTTTGTTATAATGTTTAACCTGGCCACCTCTAAGGGCCAATAATACAGTATGTCTTTCTAGTGTAACATGTTGAGACCCCTACCCATCCTGACAAGGAGCATTTATGGGAGGACGAGAGAAGAACAGTATAGGAAAATATAGCATGTAGTAGGTGAACCAAAAGTGGAGCGTGGACATCCCCAGTGGGAATCCCAAATCTCTCCTCAGGTCTATATTCAGCTCCTGCATATATAGAAACCAAGGATGTTTTAGACTTTGTTCTCTTTTTGATCCTCCACAAGAACATGAGCCGCCAGTTACATGTCAGTGTAACTTATTGACTTGCAAAGTTTATGTTTAGCAAAAAGACTGTAGTAATTTAAGACAACGCAAATGAAGAAAACAAATAAAAACAACACAACTGTGCATCACAATTTGTTTAGATAAAGTGTTATAAACATGCTATATGTCTGTGTGGGGCAAGTTCAAAAATACCTAAAATATTGTCCTTAAATTATTTGGATAATTGGAGTTTAGGCAAACTCAGAAGAGAGAAACCAAATAAATGTCATCTTGTGAATGTATACATGTACCAGAACATATCCCCTCTCTTATACTCAAACATAAAAAGCATTGGCAAAACGCATTTGTGGCAAATGTGCCTATGTGATGAGCTCCTGGACCAGCCTGCTAGCTAGCCTCCTGTTCAAGGACTAGGGGCTATATACAAAGACCCTGTTCGGCAGTTAAATCTCCCCAGTCGCCATTAGTAGCTTGCGCTCGGTGCGCCTGGTTCGGCACTTTGCTAATGGAACTGAATGCTGGCTCTCTGGCGGACGTTCGCATGAACCTAACCCACGAACAGTCCTCAGCAGTACTTGGATACAAATGTTATGGAACTGTTTTCGGCATGAGGTGACGTGGTTCCCGGCAACTTGGTTCGTGGTTTAGAAACACTTTTTGGAGGGAAGGTGCCTGAGACTAAGGGGAACAAATGCTACCAGAGAATGATGTGGAGCTCCCTGTATTGCGGCCACAGGAGCTCCCAAAAGTTGACCGGCCAAAGACCCAAACGCCCTGAAACTGTTTTGGGCATTGGACTACATGTGCGGCTG